GACCAGTGGAGGGCTCTTGTGAACACGTTGATGAACCTTCGGGTTCCATAAAATACTGGTGAGTAGCTGCAGAATCGGCGGCTCCTCCAGAAAGGCTCAGCTTCTTGAGTAAGTAAGTAAGTAAGTAAGTAATATTCGTAGTTGTCGTATGAGCCGGGATAGCTCAGTCGGTATAGCGACTGGCTACGGACTGGACGACCGAATGGTAGGAGTTCAAGTCCCAGTGGGGTCAAGAATTTTTTCTTCTTCTCGTCACCCACCCTCCCACCCTCCAATGTGAAGCTGGGGTCTCTTTCCCCGTGGGTAAAGCTGCCGGGGTGTGAAGCTGACCACTCACCACCAACTAATGTCGAGGTCAAGAAAATGTGGATCTGTACATACAGTCCCCCATACGCCTTCATGACATAGTGCTTAGTTAAGTCCAGGGACAATACTTTACTTACACAGTTGTTGTAACGTAGAAGAAAAGAAAACAATTTCAATCACTGAAGACATTTCGATGATACCTTCTCATGAAGTATCTAATTTAGTTCTCAACTTGCGCGAACAGAATGCGCATTCAAGTTTCCCGAATTACCAACATGAGCATCATCTTCAGTAATAGTACATAGAGTTGCAAAGAGAGCACGTAAGAGGTAAAGATATTGCTAGTGGGGAGTAGATCAATGCTAGAAAGAGAGAGTGTTACTGGTTCGAAATCACAATCCAATCTTTTTTTTTCTTTCCTCGGCACTACAGCCCCAGTGGGCCTAGGCCTACCTCCATGAACTTCTCCGTTCACTTCGGTTTTTCTGGATCTTGCACCTTCGGTAGGACACCTTAGGCGGGTGAGCAGCTCGTCGCAAGGCCTCTACGTGTACACAAACACAGAAAAACGCACACACACAAACTAAATATCCATGCTCTGAGTAGGATTCGAACCCTCGATCCCGGTTTCCAAGCTAGCGAAGACAGTACATGCCTTAGACCGCTCGGCTACCGTGATCGGCTCCAGTCTTTATCACACTAAATTCGCAATACGTATGTAGTTTCATAGTTTCTTCGAGAATGTGGGGATGGGGGTTTATTTATCTCAGACATGAAAGCAGTTATGGTTGCAGCCTCAGCTAGAGGCTGGCGGCTAGTTAGAGAACAGTATAGCCCATGATCATTCATCTTAGCTACATGCTCTCATGGCACACCTTTTGTTTCCTCTTTTCTTCTTCCCTTTGCTGTTCGCACGAGCAAATATTTACAGCAGCTTCAACCAAGAGGAAAGGGCAACCACAGTAGGGGGGAACCCCCCCCCCCATATAACTTTCCGACAAAGAACTTACATCGAAATTATTGGTTTCTGACCTTGTATCTAATATCTCTTTTTCTTTTCTTTTGTTCAAGAAAAAAATAAAGAAGAAAACGCCAACCTGTTTCTGTAGTCCTTCTATATCTAGACTGCTTAAAAAAAGAAACCACAATGAAAGTGAAGGGGGTGGGGGGATTAGTGTATTAGTTGAATGAGACAAATTTGTGTGGTTGTGCATTGTTTCGAATGGCTATTGTTGGTGTTAATGGGGTTGCTTGCTTCGGTGTAATCATTCGCGGTCAACTTGGCCCATTCTCTTATTTTCTTTGGCGCGCCTTTTCTTGCTAATGAAGTTATTTGTCATCATGCCTCCTCTCTACATGTGGTGACCGGGTGGAGCTTGCCTCCAGTCAGAGTGGCACGAGCAGTGTCAGCAGGTTTCTTGGCGACACATTTTCACCCGCGTAGTTTACACAGCATCTACTTTTAACGACTAACGTGGAAGACGTAGTTGTGGCCTAACTTAAGGCACTATTCCAATGTTTACCTAGAGGAACTGATTATCTTATTCGTGAGAGCTGACCTCTATGTTAAAATTGAAGTCCGAATGAATGTTAACTACAGCGCACTTGTTTTCAAGATGATCTTGAAATTTGAATTGATAAACATCTGAATGATAGATCACAGGGACCGCACGGTCTAAGGCATGAACCGTGTTCGCACCCTTGAACGCTGGGATCATGTGTTCAAATCTCACTCAAGGCATTGTTGTCTGTATTGTGTGCGTTTTTCTATATTTGTGGTCTTGCGACGGGCTGATCTTCCGTCCGAAGAGCTCTATCGACTGTGTACAGGATCAACAACCTAATAATATCCACACGTATTAGTTTATTGATCCTTTGAACAATTCGGTATGCTGTTCGTTTTACACGGCATCAAGACAAATTTATATTCATGCTGACTGTCTGTTATGTCTGGTTGCAGTGATATACCAGAAGCGGCTGAAGAAGGAGCGTAAAGCCCGTAGGAGACTCCAGGACCAGCTGGAGCTGGAGATGAAGAGGCGCTCACAGCTGGAGGACGCTCTCAAAGCCAGCGGAGCTTCTGCTGACGCCCTGCGCATGCTCAATGGTAAGTGTGTGGACCAAAACTAAAACAAACTCCGTGGCTTGTAATCCGCAAGCGAACTATACCGACCGAGCGACCGCCGTTTGTCGGTGAATTTAGTGCCAAATTTAGCGGATAGAGAGTGTCGCGTGGTCAGCGCAACGAATCCCTACGGCCGTTAATTTCGGTTTTCTAGACCGGAGCCGCTATTTCCTTGAAATAGCTCCTCAGCTATCCTCACGAGGAGGAGTGGACCCAGTTCCAGACCCACTATTTCTCAGAAAATATGGTAGCGCCGGGAATCGATCCCGGGACCTCTGGGTTTTTAGCCAGGAACTCTAACCACTAAACGAACGAGGCTGTCTGGCTGTGATTCCTGCTTTATTAATTGATTTCATTATTAAATGCTAAAACATTTTACTCATGTCACTTAACTCTAATGATTTTTTTTATAAGTCTGTGGACCACTTATAACAAAAATCATTGGAGCTAACTGACATAAGTAAACAGTTCTAGCATTTAGTATTGAAATCAGTTAATGAAGCAGGGATATTCTTGTTATAATCTAAATAGTCTTATTGCTTTCATAACAAGATATCATGCATTATTTTCCACTGGGGGACCGGAAATGAGGTGTTACAGGCACATTCACGAAAAACTATAATTAAACGGTTATTGAATGTTGTCATGTGTACGAGTAAGTATAGAAGGGTTTCAGATTGTAATTGGATTTATTAATTACGTACAAGTCGTAACTACAACTAAGTACAACACTCCTGCCGATTATTACGCTACACATAACTCCACACTGAATCTTCTCAGTGTACTTTCACTAGTTCTCGCTGTCGTTTCCTGGCAACGGATTTATCACAGACTCGCCTTAACTTCAAATATCACCATAACTACAGCACACGTATAATATTTAACTCACACACTAAGTGTTCTTGGCACAGCCCAATTCCTTCGATTGCTGACTCCTAGAATTCAGACCTTCGACTCTCTGTCTGTTCTGACTCAGTTCTTGACAGCTCACTGTTTGATACATTTCATCTTCTTCTGGCTGGACTCTCCACTGGAACTATTCTGACTTTCAAATGAGTTATCAGTTAAGGTATAAATTTTTACGTTTAATGTTTTTTGTGAAGAAATTCAGGAAATCACTTTGTTATCTCGAATAAGAATATTTCCCCTTCGGAGAACCACTGCGCTAACACGCGCGCGCGCGCGCACACACACACACACACACACACACATATATATATATATATATATGTATGTATATAGGAAGATGAAAACGAATGAAAGACAAAGTACTGAATAAAGTAAATGTAGAAACTAGAAAATGAGGAAAGAACAACAAAATAAAGCGAAACTATTTATAGCAGCGCTCCTTAGTACATTTCTTATCCCATTATGTTAATATTTTGGTATAATTTTTAACTATATTTTCAGAGATTTTAAAGACACTGAGGTTAGGTTTTGTTAATGAAATTAGTTTTTAACAATTTCTCTTTAAGTCTTCCAAAGATTTATGATAGCTTAAAACGATTTAAAATGTCTATTCTGTCATAGGTTGGAAGAAATTTTTTCCTGTTTGTCTCGAGTTTTCAAATTACATTCAATTTTGTCATATAGCCCCTGTGTTTCTGGTCTTTTCTTCATACTCGAGAGGCTAAATTAGGGCAGTAGCTGAAGGAGGAAAATTGCGCTGTCATTGTTAGATATAGAAATTCCAAATAAAACGCAAAGGAGTATGTAGGGTCCTAAGGGAAATGAATTAATGGGGACACTAAGAATTTTATCTAACGAGACACTCCATAATATGCCCACCAGATTGTTCAGGTTGCGATGGGTTGATTGAATTCCAGAGGGTGTATGGCGGCATGGCGGTTCAGATATACATTCTAGAGCTCGGTACGAGGTGGAGATATATTGTCACTTTTATAATGCAGTATCCTTAATCCTAAGAATATTACACCAGGTAGCGTACATTGTTGAGTAGGAAGGTAGCGAGTTCTATTGTCGATGAGGTCATTCGGTTTCTCAATTGATATAATCCTCCCAGCCACACTATGGCGCTGGGGTCGACTCAGCCTGTAACATAAATGAGTACCAGGAATGTTCCTGAGGCTAAAGGGTGGCCGGAGCGTAAGGCTGATATATTCAGCGCCAACTGTGAACCGATTGTTCCAGAAAATGTGGGAGCCTCGACGTCTCACAACCCTATGGGCCTCAACGGCCTGTTACAGGGATTGTTTTACCTTTTTTTTGCCTTTACTCTTTTGATAGTTGGCTGGAGAGGCCACATGAAACAGAGGGTAGGGGGAATGGGCATAATGCTACACACTGCCTACATGACTGCTTAGCTTCATTCTCCGACCGCCTTTCCTCCGGAGAAATTCCCCACAATCCAAATTTTAGGCTGGATGGCACAGGAAGGAGTGCAAGAGACACAAAGATAAAGTTACGTGCAATCTAGACCTAGTGTCTGATAGATAGAGATGTCAGGCCAGTCCCACAATAGGGCGATTTACCCCTTGCAAAGGAACCTTTGATGCCTGCTTGCCAGAAGGAACTCAGAGTTGTTATGGATATGGTGTGAAGGAAGCTTGGCAGAGGTCACAGATTAAAATATTTGAAATTTATTTTAATCCCACAAGTCGTATAAGTCTCCTATTAAATCAATTTGAAAATTGACTCACACGTAACACCCGCGGCGCTACGAAGGAGATATATCGTCTTCAGTGGATGCATCCTGTTGTGTTACCGTATAGTTCTTTTATTGAAAGTCGTCACAACACAATAATTAATTATATATGTTTGTAGTATCAAGTAGTACTTTACTACATGTTTCGGTTTCAAGAAGCCATTATCAGGTAAATACACTTAAAAACTTCTTAGCTTCTCGAAAGCCGAAACATGTAGTAAAGTATTACTTGATACTACAAACATATATTATTAATGTAAGATTTGAGGTTTTCACGGCGGTCACTATGAAGAAAGCAGTCTTCTGGGATGTGGCACCTTGTAGATATGGTGTTAACCGACAAACAGTCTGCTTGTACCGGTTCTCACGGTCTCTTCGCTTGCGAATTTCTTATATTTTTTTCTACCCTGAAGATTGAGGCGATACGTTCCTCCGAAACGTGCCACATCCCAGAAGACTGCTTTCTTCACATATTATTAATTATTCTGTTGTGACGGCTTTCAATAAAAAAGAGATATGTCGTGTTGAAACCATTGTTCTTCTTTTTAATTACTTTTTAGTATTGGCATTATCAACTAAAAGAAACTTGTCTTTCTATTCCCTCGCAATTTCAGCTAACAATTTTCAGTATACTACGAACTGAATTTAAATTTACCATGAAAATTTAAATCATAATAATTCCTTCTTGGGAGAATTTCATAATTTTAAGAGTTCATATCATCAGATATTATTAAATTTTCATATTTAACTATTCCCCCTTGTTCTTCCCACTCTTCTGCACCGTCATTATTTCCTTATACTTTCGCAAACACAAACAAGTGAGGCTAAAACAAATGAATCACTAATACCGCCTGCTAATCCTTGCTACTCTTCACAATACACGAAGGTTGCATTATATTCCTCTAGCAGTCTGATGGATGGATGGAAGCAAATTAGCAAAACCTCCTGTACTTCTTCCTCTCCTTGCCTTGCTCCTCCAGTTTGCAGGGATTAATTTTTAACTTTTAAGAACTTCATTACATCTTATGCGTGTTTGTAATTAAAGAGCCAGGCGAGTGGATGGAGCGAGAGGTTGCAGAGGATCCCAGGTTTGGCAGCTAAAACATGGTGGGGAGATTTGTAACAAGGAGAAGGTGGTATGAAGGAGGGTGATTTCTGAGCTGATTCTTGATACCAGAACTTATGTGGCATGGGTATTGGAGGTGACAGCCAAGGAAACTGAGTTTCCTTACGAGGAAGGAAACGTGTAATGGATTCAGACTGTCTTCAACTCTGCGTGAAATTGCGTTGTACAGTAAACAAGACTAGGGAAGGCATGCCACTAATGTAGGCCGAATCATTTTCAATTTTTGTGTGTCTCCTCAGCTTTTATGTTTATTTATAACCGATAAAGATCTGTTATTGCAAATTTAATATCGTAACACAAGTTCCATAACACACGTTCTAGATTAAAAATTATATTTTCTTTCACTTTCTTGCGTATTAAACATACGAAAAAGTTTAATACAAAATTGTGAATATTTATAAGAACTGTCTCTGTTGTCTAGTGGTCAGAATTTCTGGCTACAGATCCAGAGGTACCGGGTTCGATTCCCGGTGCTACCGGATTTTCTGACAAGTAGTTGGTCTGGATCGGTGTCAACTCAGCCTCATGAGGATAATTGAGGAGCCATTTCAAGGAAATAGCGGCTCCGGTCTAGAAACCAGAGATTAACGGCCGTGGGGATTCGAAGCGCTGACCACCCGACTCCCTCTATGCGCTAAAGTTGGCACTAACTTTGCCGACAAGCGACGGTCGCTCGGTCGGTATAGTTCGCTTGCGGTCTGAAACCACGGAGTTCGTTTTTTGTTTGTATATTATATCATATAACAATCCCTTATAATGTATGTAGCTTTTAAGTAAATTGACAGACTTTAGCTTCATATAATGTAGTCTTAATGTTGGACCGATATAAACTGAGAATAAATATGCCCCAGCCTGTTGTACAGGAACTACAATAGCATTTTTATTGAAACAATAGATGGTTAGTTTTACGAACGATTCAGGCAGAACGGATAAGAAACAAAGACGAGGTTGAGGCTACAAACCGAGTGAAGCATTGTTCACACATTAGACTAACATTCGTACCGCCACTAAAACCCCGTTTTCAGTCTTTCCATGGTCTAGTTCTTAATGCTCGCACTAAACCTCTTATTTTATAATTCCATACTTTCTTCGCTTGCCTGTCTAAACACATCCCGTCCGCTGCCTAAGGCCGGCCGCACGCCAATTGCGTCAACACAGGCATCAAGACATGAGACAAAAGACGCAGTCTTGCTTCATTCGTGATTCGTCAGTATGAAGCTGACGTCAGCATCATGACTCAGAACGGTGTGCTGCGGTTTCCATAATCTCAATCGTTTTAACTGTGCTCCTATCTTTGCTTCATGTCGCAGACATCGTCTCTTGACTGTTACATGTTTTGACACATGCCGGTGTGCGACCTACCTGAGTCCTGAAGGCGGGTGGTTGATGCTGTTCCCTTTCCCCCACTCTTCGCCACCCTCCACCTTCAGGACTCAATAGACCAACACGTAGCCTTTAGGTTACAATTTTTTTCAGTCATGTCGTCAGCCTTACATTCCTTGTGTATTTCCGTAAACGATGTGTAGGTTCTACTCACACAACGGCCCTTTGCAGTCTTATTTCTTCCTGTTGTGTCTACATATGTATACATATGTGGGAACACTGGTTTGATCAAGGGATATATAATTATAAGTGATATGAACCAAATATGATAAATTAGGAAAGATAATTAAAAAATAAGCCGGTCACGGTAGTCGAGCGGTCTAAGGCATGCACTGTCTTCGTTCGCTCGGAAGCCGGGATCGTGGGTTCGAATCCCACTCAGGGCATGGATGTTTGGTGTGTGTGCGTTTTTCTGTGTTTATGTACAGGTAGAGGCCTTGAGACGAGCTGATCACACTCCAAAGGTGTCCTACCAAATGTCTAAGATCTAGTAAACCGAAATGAAACAGAGAGTTTAATGGAGGTCGGCCAAGGCCCAAAGTGGGGCTGTAGTGCCAAAGGAAAGAAAAATTATTAAAATACGCGAAAGCATAAAGGTATGCTTGTGGGTAAGTGTACTGTCATGCCAAAAGGCGTGTAGAGAGCGTAGAGGTAAAATTTTATTCATTGCTAGTAGACAGTGGTGAATAGAACTGTGAGTTTCACGCTTTGGCACTCTTAAACCCAGGCAAATAGCGCCGATACTTACCGGGTAAGGGCTCATGTACGCTGCAGGAGCCGTTGCGATGAAATCCGTTGGCAATATTCCTACCGGAACACAAACCCCAGCCTTATAGCCCACAGCCGGTCATTTTACTGATATCCATCCCAGCCCAGCATGAGAAAGGGAACTGCACAGCCTGAGAGATATACGTTACCGCAACGTCGTGTATTGTGAGATCAAATATACCTTCAGAGCTAATTACCAGAACTACAAGTTTGATATTTCCCAGGATTCATTTCCGCTAGACTAAGAAAGTTCTTCCGCTAAAAGCCACTCATGTACTGAAGATCCCTCAGGGTCGAGCAAGAAGTCCTGAACATGCAAGGAAATAAGAGCCGAGATGGGGAAGGAATAGGGAAGGAGATGAAGATAATGATGAGGTCTGGAGAGGATGTATATGTAAGATGTAGTTACAAGGTGGGAACATAGTTTCAGCGAACAAGAAGGCAAGTTGAAGTTGAAGTAAGACAGAGAAAACAAGTTTGATTGACGTTCAGTAAACCTAAACCAAGACTGTTTATAAACTAAAACAGCAAAAGCAACCCTACTACATCCATATCTTACTTGCTAGGTGACTTTGACAAGTTTAAGTGGAGAAAACCTCCCTTACATCTAAACACCACCCTCTCATTACCCTACTATATTAATATTTAGATCCTGTAGCATAATTTATATTAACTCTCTTCCCTTCCGCAAACATTGCTTCAGTTTCGAGTATAACCTTCGATATTTGAGCTTCTTGAGGACAATCCACTATTAATAATAATAATGTAATAATTATAATNCCCCACAACCACGAACCTTCCAGAGGTCAAAACGTTCATATATCCGTTACCAATAATTTGAACTTAAAAAAAATTCCATATAGACCTATATGCATACATGCATATGCATATTGCTAGTGGGGTGGGACTAAGTCCCTTGAACTGCGGCCACATCTGGCCTACTGTACCAGCCCCAGATGATAGGTGAGGGTGATTGTGGAGCAATTGGTGGAATGAAGATTGGCAGGGGAAACCGAAGTACACGGAGAAAACCTGCCCCAGCGCCACTTTGTCCACCACAAATCCCACTTGACCAGACCCGGGATTGAATCCGGACGGCCGCGGTGGGAAGCCAGCGACTAACCGCTTGACCTATGGGGAGGCCTCATATGCATATATACATACGTATGTTCTTTGTATAATATTGATACTGATAGAATAGCTTTAAATATGCATAAATTTAGAGGACTTTAGACATTAGAACGTAAACTTTTAAGTTTCATCTAGGGATACACATTAAATTAATAATTAATTTGTATGACTCATTTTAGTAATGATGTAAAATATACTTTAATTTATGTCTACACTGATCAACTGCCTGTAATATGAAGAAGTTCCGTTTAAAAAGTTTAAGCAATTCACGTACTTTCAATTAAAGGAAATTAAACTTACTGCATTAGTGGTAATACTGTGTACTTGCCTGTGTAGTGCATTCAAATAAAATATTTTGTAAAAAAGAAAAAGTAAACGTATTCCTGTAACAGGCCTTGGAGGCCCATAGGATTGTGAGATGTTGAAGTTCCCACATTTTCTAGACAATCGGCTCATAGATAGCGGTAAAGTTGTCACCCCTACGCGCCGGCTGCCCTTTACCACGAAGAATATTCCTGGTACTCATTTCTGTTAGAGGCTGAGTCGACCCCAGGGCCATAGTGCGGCTGGAAGGATTAGATGAATTGAAAAACATCCAATGACCTCATCGGGATTCGATCCCGCGACCTTCCTGCTTGTAGCATAGTGTCTCAACCAATTATGCTGCCGCGTCCCCCAAAAATATTTCTTGCTAAACAAAATTCTTTATAAATCTACTCTCACCGAAATTTCTACGGAATTTAGCAGGTATAGATACATATGCTTTTAATGTAAAACTTTCTAAGAGTTTCTTTCTGTTAATATAAAGTGTGTCTCTGTTTTCTCAGCAGAGAGCGGGAGTGAACACAGGGTGTCGAGTGGTGGAGACCAGTCAGAGAGCTCATATCCCAGACAGCAGCCCACTCATGTACCAGAGCCACCTAGTGAAAAGCAGTGGAACTACTCCGGTCTAGACCTCATGGGTTCTGGAGCAGCCTTCTGGCAGAATTATTCAGGTTAGAACAAACTAATTCTTTCTGTGCCGGCGATATAAATGTCCAGTAGCAATTTTCGTTTCGAAAAGGAGTTTTGACTGTTTGATCATAACGTAAAATAAAGAATTCGTCACTACAGAAGTAAAACGATAAACAAAAAATCATTTATCAGATAATCCTACTATTAGATCATTTACATTTACTTTCACGAAATGAAATGACCCCAGGTTCATGCAAGAAGAAATATTTCAGTGCCTTTGGCATTGAATCTTCAAAATGTTTGCTAGAGATTTAATCAATTGGCTATTTGATACTTTCATTCATTCATCAGTGACTCTACAGCCCTTTGTTGGGCCCTCACCGCTTTTTCAGTTTGTTAATCCTATACATAGCAGGTAGACCTCCTTGGACGGGGGATCAGCGCTTCGCAAGGCCTCTCTCTATACATAGAACAACACAAACAAAGAATAAACTCACAGCGACATACAAGTATTGAGTGAGATTCGAACACACAATCCCAGCTTTCGAGAGGGCGAACACTGTTCCTGCGTCAAACCGCGCGGCCACTGTGATTTGTCAATCAGTTATTTAGTTACATTCTTAATGAACTGATTAACCATTCATATCCAAAGCAGATCTTGCATCATACCGTTGGTTATGTAATTATTAAGTTAGTCTGCCAGCTTGTGAGTTAGGCTGTTAGTCCGTCAGTTCGTAATGAAGTTCGTCACTTATTCAGTGTTTAGCTCTTTAGTTGGTGTCTGTAAGACTAACAGATCCTCTGTCTCTTTTTCTCTTTTCGCAATGTATAGAGGAATCCAATCATCCAATAATTGACAGATTTTCTTCTTCCATTTTTCATGGTAGACTACGCGATCCTCTGGCCTCAATCCCAGACCCTTCCTCTCCCATTTTCTGTTCTATTTCACAAATTGCTGAAAACCCCAGCTCAAGTGCTAAGCCCTTCCTAACCGTCTATCCGCCACCCCTCACACATTTAAAACCTATGTCTCATACGCAAAATTCGTATAAGCTTTTCTGGCACTTATTTTTTTTTTATCTCTTCGCGTTTCATTCTGACATGCGCATTATAAAGTGGGAGAAATTATACGGTGGTAGGAGAAGTCTGCATAGAAGAAGGGTGAGGAGTTTTCCATAGTCTGTTGTAGGGAGAAAACCTTCATATTCCTACCAAAAAATACCCTTTTAATCTGTACACTGGATGACCGCATGAAGTCAATAATTATCAAACTTACAAAACGTAGACTCATCTTTCTATTAATATCCGTAATTCCAATATAAAGCTTAGAGTGGCCTGTGGATGAAGTACTTAGAAGCTAATACGCTTTTTCAACAGCGCGGAAGATTGATAAGGGATGGGGGAGATGCTTGCATGTAGGCACATCATGATGGAAGCTTTTCATAATACCAAGTAATTTATAAGCTACTGGCCTTAACATGTTTCACATTGACAGCAACAATTATTACATGTATGTGCTGTGGAAGGGGCACAGGTGCATAATATGTTTATTAGCAAATTGTCAGTATTCGGTTGAATTGATCCCTATTTACTGATTAATTTTAAATGTGCCTTAACACTGTCTATCTGAATAAGGCAAGTCACGAGAAGTTAACTTGTTTCCTACTGCTCAATATCAAATATAACATTAAACTATCTCTGGTGGAGTTTGACCAGAAACTACTGAGAATCATATTATTATTATTATTGTTATTGTTATTATTATTATTGTTATTTCCAATCTAGGGGCATATTTTTATTTTAATAACAAAAGATTACACTAACTTCGCCGACAAGGGGCGGTCGCTCGGTCGGTATAGTTCGCTTGCGGACTAAAGGCCACGGAGTTTTTTTAACAAAAATTGAGTATCATATTGTATCGTTAATTTAAAAATATAATTCATATTACAGTAAACGAAGTAAAATCATCCCCATATATTTCAATCTAAAGCCCATGTACCCATGACATCTCAATGTCCTAGTCCATGTGCCGTTCTTATCGTTAACCCTCAACCCCCACTTTATTTCCCCCCACAAAAGCTCAACATAATATTTGCTTTGGACTATGATATTACTTTATGAATATGTACTCTTATCATTGTGTGAAGGTGCGTTGTTTGGATATTTATCAGAAAGGAACTGAGTTCACACCCCGCAGACAATTCAACCCCCGCCTGTCCCCCGTATCACCAGCTGGGATCACCAGGGGTCGCGCCCGCCTGTCCGTCTCCACATTTTGTAGATCTGGGGACCTGATGGGTGCCGATGTCCGGACAACAACACACCCGTCTCCTTCAGAAACTTATTGTATTGGCATTTGAGGTGGGACATTTTCTTCAGAATCCCCTCTCACGCTTCGGAAAGTACCACCTCGGCTCCCGAGAGATCTGTGATACTAGACAGGTCCGTTTCGTTTACGCNAACTAGCCATATAATCATGTTTCACATCCTTAAAAAACAACATGTAGAGTCATAGTTAAGTGTTTTAACGCCTGTGTGTTTAGACAGGATATGAGAGGGTAAGCCATTCTGAAGAAGAATCATACATTGCTGGAGGGTTGTTACTATGGAACATACAAATAAAAACATAGCATGAATTGTTCCATAAACATCTGAAGTAACCTAAGGTGCTCCATAGTGTCCAGTTAGATACCATTATGAAAACAGACAATTACATTGGACATAGGGGAATTTTGATGTGTTCTAACGCTCCTCTGCAGACAAATCTGAGTTTCAGCTACAGAAACTCTCATTTCTTATATGCCACGCAATAATCTAGTGTAAGCGCCTCTCGTTTCCATGGTTACTATAAAATATATCAAGTTTACGTACTCATTGTTGTAAAGATCCCATTGTCGTCCCGTTGCCGGTATTATCACGAACCCACTGGATTTTCTATAGATGAGACAATGGGAAAATAAATTGACTTGGGCTCATATCCACGCACGTAACAGCAAAATTAACAAACTTTCCCAAGGCTATCTCTCTAAGAGGGACATCTTTCATGTTTAAATTTTTTCTGTGACGCTTTTTTTTTTTTTTTTGGAGGAACGGGATAGTTCTCCTCAGGTTTGAACCAGTGTCTTATGAATACAAAATCGCAATACTTACACAGGCGAAATATATATACACAGTAAAATTCTAAGCCTTTAAAAGGCTCCGAGCTACAAAAATTGATGGCCCCTTGTTCAACACCTGAAAGCTACCGCCACATACACGTGTCACGTGCCGCTGCCCAGACGAGATTCGCCTGACAGTAAACTTGAATTTAACTACATGCTAACTTAGACAATGTTACGGTCCTCCCTGCAGGAGACAGTGTATTAGTTCGACGATCTCATGCATTCTAGACGAGACACTGTGCATATCTTCCTAACTCCCACACGGTTCCATTACCCCGACCTCAGGGCGGACGGAACCGACTAGGAAGACGCCGTCAACCTGACCTACCAGTAACAGCGCTTTATGAAGACTTGCTGGAAACTGGCTTCTCCACTGGAGTAATTTCCCTCGCGACCCCGAGTGGATGGAAAAGAGAGAGACGGAGCAACAAAATTGTGGGTTATGTTCCTCTGTAACCCTTGCACAGGCTCCTTGTTCCAGTGGCGAGAGATAGAAATCTGATTGTGACATTGTGACGGAACATTTAACATCACAAAACAGAGAGAGAGAACATATTTTGAGTACAACTATAAAGTTCTCAGGCGACAGGTTTCACAATTTATAGCTTGAATTCCTACTGTAATTTTAGACATTATAAATTCGAGTTCTCAATGCCGGTTGTTCATACTCATACGTTATAATTTCAATTTTTCATTGTGTACTGACATTATACATTGCAGTTTCAATTTCCGAATATCTGTAGTGTCTTAAATACATGTATTAGAACCATGATTTCATAATTACAAATCTAAAAAGAGGTAAAGTTGTCCTTTTGAAAGTTTAGAGGTTTTCACGGCGATGACGATGAAGAAAGTCGTCTTCTGGGTTTTGGCGCCGTGTATTCTTCATTTTAGCCGACGTTTCGGAGGAACGTATCCTCCGAAACGTCGGCCAAAATGAAGAATACACGGCGCCAAAACCCATAAGACGACTTTCTTCATTGTCCTTTTGAAGTCTAGCACGCTAGCATAGTTTGTTGACGCACTATGCTACAAGCCGGAAGATCCCGGGTTCGATTCCTAATGAAGTCAATGGATTTATTAAATTAACCTAATACTTCCAGCCGCACTATGGCCCTGAGGTCGACGCAGCCTATAACAGAAATGAGTACCAGGAATATTCCTGCGGGTAAAGAACAGCCAGTGCGTAAGGCTGACAACCTTACCGCCATCTGTAAGCCGTTTGCCTAGAAAATGTGGGAGCATCGACGTCTCACAACCCTATGGGCCTTCACGGCCTGTTGCACTGATAGCTTTACGTTTTTAAATGAGTAAAAATACAACGTAATCTAGGATAAAGCAATAGAGATATTACAAAAAATTATAACTAATTTTCACATCTTGATTACAGCTATGTAGGAAAATCGTTAAACATTTTTATCGCGGAAGTATGTAGTTCGAATTTATATTGGAACAATGGAATTTGATGTGACTTTTTAATGTTTCTATACGACATAATCTTAAATCCTGGAACAATTACCACGTTAGCAGCGACAAACTGGTAGTAACTAGTCATAAATCAGTCCATTAAGGAAAGTGGTCCTCACCATGGGATAGATAAGAATGAATCAGAAACATTTTGATATTGAAGTATTGAAATTCAAGCAGCTCAGAATGAGGCGTGTCTGTGTTATACACTTCGTTGTGATCATTTGAGACAGTGACTCTTCCGTTTGGGGAGAGTCTGGGGCGTCAACTGTGAGATGGTGCCCGGAATTACAGTTTAGTTTTCAAGCAGAAATGAATGGCTGATTTTTAAATGAGATTTAAGGAAGAATACAAATATTTACGACGATAATAAAAGATAAGAAATAAATGGAGTGCAGTGCTAAGGCGAACAT